TAGCTGGTCCACCACCACATTTTAGACTTTGGGAGTGGGTGGTGGCCCTGGGCCCCTAACTTTCCTCAGAGAAGCTGGAGTCAACTCTGCTGTGTCTACTGTATGGCAACATCATGTGTGTCAGAGTACAGTTGTGCTCCATCAGGCTTTACTGACTGATTTTCAGAAGTAAATCATCAGACTTTTCATCTGACATGCTTCGGGGGTGGGGGTGGGGTGGGGGGGTGGAGTCACAAACTATGACTCTTTCAGTTTGCAAGACAAGTTCATGCACCATTCAGGGTCATGTCAAAGAAGATCCTGGCTCTGAATTCTCCTTGCCCCGAGGGTCATCAAACTCCATGGAATGGTCTCTTCTGGAAAGAAATTTGGGCAAGGGTAGCAGTAGGGCAGGGCTGGCATATAGGCAGGAACCCTGGTCTGAAGTAGCCCTTGAAAATTAGGCTGCACCATAATCTCCTGTGAACCTTTACATCTACAGCGATCCATGATATGAATATGCAGTGGGGCAAGGAAGTGTGTGCCAACAAGGTTTCAGGAGATCTTAAGCCTGCATAGGGCTAGGGCTGCTTCTCTGGGGGTGGGATCATGAGCAAGGACCACCATCAGGGTCAGATCAAGGCCTGCAGGTGGATGTTTCCAGCCCCAATTGGCCCTCTGAAGAGGTGGTGAGTGGCATGTGCAGGATTCGGTTTGCTAACTCATTGTTTTCATGCTGGTGCCTGGCCTGAGACACCTCTCTGCTCATCCAGACTAAATATCTGAACTATGTGGGAGGTTCACACAAGACACTTATACTGGGTTATCTGAGTCATATGCAAATATGTAAATATGACTCTTATGTGGCCTATCACTCATTAGACTGAAGTCATAACATATCAAATACTTAAACTCGAATGTTTCTGGAATCCCAGGGTTTTACCTGACACAAGCTCCACCTAGGTCCCTCTGACATCCGAATCTATCACTCTTTCAGTTTGTTTAAGCATCCCCAGGGCCAGGGCGATTTCTAGTTCCCAAAGCCATTCATCTCACGGAGCTCTAAGCATTTGAGATGCCATTCCCACACTGAGTGTAAATCAGCTCCTTGCAGCTCCTCCTGGACCTGATCGTGACACAGATTGATGGAGATATCCAGTGCAGCCTTACGTCTTCCGAAATGTAAACTAAAGAGTATTTTTCAGAGCTTCCTGTGTAGATGAACCACCTAGGCATCTAGTGGAAACGTGGACTGGGAATCCAGATTTCTCACAAACATCCAGGTAGCATGGAGGCTGCTGCTCAGAGTAGTGATGCTGGGGATTAGGGGGGTTCTGGGAGGCCTGTGAGGACCAAGTTCCAGATCTGGCTTTTCAGCTAGGGCAGTGGTTCTCAACCTTCCTGATGCTGCGACCCTTTCATACAGTTCCTCATGTGGTGGTGACCCCCAACCATAAAATTCTTTTTGTGGCTACTTCATAACTGTAATTTTGCTACTATTATGAATCACAACGTAAATATCTGATATGCAGGATGTATTTTCATTATTACAAATTGAACATAATTAAGCATAATTAAATCATAGTGATTAATCACAAAACAATATGTAATTACATATTGTGAAGTATTTTTGTGTTTTCTGATGGTCTTAGGTGACCCCTGTGAAAGGGTCATTTGATCCCTAAAGGAGTCATGACCCACAGGTTGAGAACCGCCGACCTACTGGCTCTGTGATTTGGGAAGGCATTCACTTCCCAGTGTCCCAGTTTCATTTGGGTAGATTAAGGTTAATGGCCATATTGCTCTCCTAGCTTTGGAAGGCGAAAAGGGGTGGGCACTTGGTCACTTTCAGCTTAACAGCCCGAGAAACCTTGCCATTTCCTTGAGTTGCTACCCGAGTATGTTACTTGGGGGCCATGACTCACAGTGGGCAGCTACTATACACTAAATTGAAGATGTGGGCATGTCCTTATCTACATTTTCCCCCAAGCAATGTGTTTTCATATTTTTCACCACTATCTCATTAAATGAGCAGAAAGCTCATGCTTCCTACTCCGGTGCAGTTACACTCTCAGAAACCCACAGAGTCAGTTCTACCCTGTGCTACAGGGTTGCCATGAGCTGGACTTTGCTTGATGGCAATGAGTTTCATCCTACTAAACACTGCAGTAGAAATACCGGAGACTCTGGGCAACGGGACCAAGAAACAACCTAATGATAAACGGAGAAAGATTTATGTTGTCAAGGATTTCATTTGCTTGAATCCACAATCAACGCTCATGGAAGCAGTAGTCAAGTACTGAGGCCTGCCAGAAGAATGAAAAATCTGTCTTGGAAGAAGTGTAGACAGAATATTATTTAGAAATGAGGATGGCTTATCATTTGATAGCCCTTTTGACCCATTTTAAAGCTATTTCAGTTTTTCTTTTAAAAGTGAATGGGAAATAACTGTGAATTAAGCACCTGGTGAATCCTCTGTCCCTGGACCAGGGATGTGATTAGCCTTCCAATCCCTTAGCCTTGGAAAGGGATTGTTGTAGATATATTTAGGCTAAAATTTAGCACTATATCATTTGATCTCCCTTATGACCCATTTAAATTTGTTCTAATTTTAAGTATTTTCTTATTTCTTTTCTATTGAGGTTTTCATTTGTTATTCTTGTTAGTTTTTTAAAAAAGTTTTTCTGTATATGAAATCTATACATAGATATACATATATCTCTATCTATAGATAGGTAGATCTATAGAGACAGTACCAGAATTAATGGTTTCTTGGGGATATGGCAAGAAATGGGGAGCTAATCATGAACACAAAAATGAAAATATTCTAAAACTGATTGTGCGGGTGATTGTACAACTCTTCTTGATGTGATTGAACTACTGAATTGTATCATATGTACAGTATATGCTAACAAACTGTTGAAAAACCAAAAGAAATGAAGATGGTGAGACTTCATCTCGTGCACTTTGGACTCGTTATAAGAGCAGTCACTTGAAAAAGACATAAAAGAGGAGGGAGATGCTCAATGACATGGGCTGAAACAGTGGCAGCAGCAATAAGTGCAATGAGTGAAATCACATTCAGAAGCTGAAAGACATAGCAACAAGGGTCTGTTCTCAGAGGTAACACCAGCTCAGTTTGTATAGTGACGAGAAATGCTAATAAACAACTAGCTAGGTAAACACGTTATTATGTGGAATATGAATCTAGTTGCATTTGATTAATGTCACATTTGCTTGGTAGAATGAAAGCACGAATAAAGTGCACTAGAGAAGCACAATGCACTGTGTTTTGTTTGTTGCTGTGCTCCTCTCCTGTCATCTCACTGGACACGCTCCTCTCCTCCCAGGTGGTGTGGGGAGCCTCTCAGAAAACCCTGTTAAGTGGCTTAGCACAGAGAAACGTAATTGTCCTTCTCTGTTAGTTTTAGCTCATTGGTGGTAAGAGCAGACCTTATTATCACTATATTTTCAGGTCGCCCCCACCACGTCCAGTATCTGACATAGATTAGGAATGGCCAATGTCTGTTGGAGGGAGGAAGGGAAGATAGGGAAGGAGAAGGATGGAGGGAAACAAGAAGGGTGGCAAAGAGGGAGGAGTGACAAACAGGAGGGGAACAGCATTGGGCAAATGAGTTGATCGCCACTGGTTAGTAATTTTTGCCCTCTGCAGACACAATCTGTTTCTTGGAGACACAGACTACTTTGCCATTGTGTGATCTAGGTCCTCAAGCGAACTTGCTGAGGGTCCAGGTGTCTAGAGAGTTCCTGCTTTCTGATGGTAGCGGATGTTAAATCCCTGTTTCCAAGTATCTATTGTTATGTTATTAGATCTGCCGATGTTTCCAACTCCAGAATTAAGACAAAAGATGACTGGTTCTCAAACATAAGCTCACGGACAGTGTATTTTCCCATGGTGGGAATAGTTGCACTACCATTATTTAAATGAGGAAACTTTCTCATTGTTCTGTTAGAAAATTATTTTTCTGGGGCTGCTTCAACTATCTACTAGCCATAGCTATCTACTAGCCATATAGGCTACCCATAAAGATTTTGACTGAATCTTTATAGGTAGCCACATCCACCAGTATTGAGGTTGGTTATGTATATTGTATTTTCACAATGATGTTAAATGGAGCGACGGTATTAGTTAAGAGCAAGGAATATATCTAAAATCCTGAATACGTGTTCTGCTCCAAATGTGTGAATGAGCTCTGAGTGAGTTTGAGACTGGGGTTTGCAGCTTGCACTCCCCATGTCATCCCAGTCCTAGCAGCATCTCTGCAAATCAGCCGTGGGCTTGCCAGGGAGCCCATTCTGCCTCACGGTAACCCCGTGGAAGTCCAAGTAGGACCATGTTCCATAGACGGTATTATTTATTTATTTAAGAAGTAGCTTGCTAGGTCTTTCTCTGGAGGAGTCTCTGGTTGGATGTAAACATTCAACATTTCAGTTGGAGCCACGGTTAACTTGCAAATAGAGCAAGGGCCAGGTAGTTTGCTTAGTAACCTGGGACAGCACTTTCCCCTTAGCTGCTGGGGAAAGGTGCTTACTTAGGAGACAGAACAATGACCTTACTTCTATTCTTCCAGTCCAGTTTCCCACGGAGGACACATGCGTACAGACACAGACTGTTCTCAAAGGCATTCTGCTACTTTGACTTTTCAGATACTTTCCTCCAAATTCCAAGCACCAGGGGCTCTGGGAAAATGGCAGGCTTTTCTTGTTTGTTTGTGTTTTGAGACTAGGGCACTGGTACATGTTACCATTTAGGGATAGTTCTCTTCTGTGAATAGGGAATTTCCAGACAAACCTCTTCCCCTTGGGTGGTCAGGAGGCCGGTCTGGGTGTCGCCACCTTCCTGTGCCTGACCCTAGCAGGGAAGGCAGGCATCAGCAGGGTGAAGGAACAAGGATATCCTGGGCTGGGAGGGAGCCATATTTGGCCTCACATTCAATGGAAGACTCAAATATGAAGACAGCAGCCAGCAGGGACATAGGCTTGGGGTCTGTGTGAACCTTAAACCACCAGCTGGACAGGCCTGCTGGGCCGATAGCAGAAAGACAGGATTGGGAATAGAGTCATGCAGACAAATGGTTTCATTTTCTTAAGGTAGTCTTTTCTTTATCAGGAAACAGCCTTCAGACGAAAGTTCATCTTGTAAAGAAAACCCATCCTGTTCAAATACACATTTCAGTAAGGTGTTCCATTACCGTTGGTTAAGTTCATCTTACGCCAATTTTGCCTGAGAGTCAGCGAACACTGGATAGTGGTGGTTCTGGGTTAGATGGAGTCATGCTGTTTCTGCAGTGGTTCTGTGCGGGGTGTCCCTGGTATGAACTCTGTCTCACAGTAGCATGTTTGTCTGCAGGGGTCTTTCTACAAGAAGCCATTTCTGAGCAACTCAGAAGCTGTACACACTGCGAGCCCTGATCTGGGAAGCACTGGACCAGAGTAAACGTATGTCAGACTCTCCTTCAAGACGCAGTGGTCAGCAGACAGGCAAGAAAAGGGCAGGACGATGGAGAGGGGGAGGGGCTTGAGAAGGAGCACCGAGGAAGAGTTCATGGCGACAATACCCCCACAGAAAACCTGCTCTCTAAGGAGAACCCTTCATATGGGACTTCCTCAGAGTTTCCCATGTTCTTTTGGACTTTGAGGATTTCAAATGGCTAAGTATGTGGGCTTATCTATGTGTGTGTGTGTGTGTGTACATAGTTCTGCTTGTGTGAGGGTGTATGCATGTGGGTGTCAGAGAGAGAGAGAGAGATAGAGAGAGAGAGAGAGATAGCTGGTGGGTGGTGGGTGGGGAATAAGCTTTACTGGACTTATTTGGGGGGAAGATTAGTCTGCCTTGATTTTCAAGAAATGCCTTCCGTGGCAAAATCTTCTAAGTCATTGATGGTGATGAGCTCCAGGTTTGGAGCATCTCTGCCCTCCTCTTCTGAGTTCTGGAGAGGCTGCTCAGGGCATTGACCAGGCATGTTCTGGGTGGAATCCCTGGAAACCTGAGGGACACACTGTCGTCCAGCCTTATGGGGGCCCTGATGGCCCACAGTGGCCACCTTGGTGGTTCTGGAAGGACTTTCCTCCAGGAAGGTGGGAGTGGAGAGCTGGGAGGAACACCGCAGGGGTGCTAAGGGAGTCACAGGCAGGGGCTGGAGGCCAGGAAACAGCAGATGAGGATCAGTCAGTCCATCTGCCAGAGGTGCCTCTGGGCAGTCCCCTGTTGAGGATGGGATGGGGACCTTGAAATACTGGTCTGTCTCAGGGTCATAAAAGGTCTTGATTTTCACCTGGAGTGGCAAGTCAAAGACAAAGTACTCCCCAGACTGGGGGTCTTGGAGGACCTTATGTGTGGCAGGGTATGGAAGCAAGGGCTTGGCCAACTGAAGCTCCCTGGTCCTCCTCCTGTTGTGTTCTGAGAAGCTGGACGCAGAGTGGCGATGCATGGGAGAGGGCAGGGACCGGACTGAAGGGAAACTAGTTTGTCTGGCTGTCTCTTCAGGGGATGGCGGCCTCCACTCAGCCCTCTTTGAGTTCTCCACCCGAGGTCTTTCTTCCCAGAACTCACCAGGCCTTCCCTGCCCCTGGTCTATCTTTCGCCTCTTGTTGGCCAGTTTCTTTGCCCGCCGCAGGGCCTTCTCAGTTTTGGGTGGGACTGCAGGTGGCTTGCCTAGTGACCTCTCCAGCTGCCCAGGTGGCTCGGATCTCTCTGGAAGGTCTGCCGAATTAGAAACTGTGTCTACAAGGGAGTCTCTGAGAGAGAAAGGCCTGAGATCTCGTGTCGTATCAAGTTGGGAGTCACAGGTGTCCTCCAACAACAGGGTGTGCGGCTGGTCTTCCTTCTGGGTGACAGGAATAGGACTGGGACTGGCCCGACGGCTGCCTTGGGGAGGCCGCTCTTGAGGTGGCAAGCCCAACTCACTGGGAGTCTGGGAGGCATCATCCCGTATACTGCTGGCAGTGAGAGAGCACACACTCGTCCCCTCCAGAGAGCTGGGGTTGGGTGAAGCCACCATCTCACTGGACACCAGACTTTTCCCTAGGGCCCCAGCTCTAGGTGTCGATAATACATTATTCTTGAAATCTTGCATCTGCACTTCCCAACACATTCCCTGCAGGTCTGGAGGTGACTTTCCTTCTGTGTCATCTTCGGCAAAATCAATCTTGGACATGAATTTGAGAGCATTCGGTCTCACCTGGTCTGTGGAGCTTCTTCTGCTTCCCCCCACCACCACTTTAGGGAGCAACGGAGGATGTGGGAGATCCCCTTTTTCAGATGGATGGGAGGTCTCTGACTTGGCCATGCCTGGTGTTGGTTGGTGGTCTTCTGGGTCCTGGTGGACTGTCGGCCTCCAGTGCATGTCCTGTGTATTAGCAGGCACTGGGTGGGTAAGTGCTGGGGTGCTGGGAATTTCCTGGCTCTCCTCAGTTAGCCTTGGTGATTCCCTTTCTTTGTGGCCACTACTGGATGAATCCTCTAAGGACAAGGTCCTCAGGAGGGGCAGCATGATGGGCTTGATTATGGGGGTGGCCCTGAGGGTGTTGTCTTTAAGTGCAAATAGTATGTGCTTGTTCGAAGTGGAACATGGTGCCACTGTAAAGTCTGCAGCCTGTGGAGGGGCCTGACTTTTCCCAACCCAAGAGTCTCGTAAGCTCGCTTCTTCTATTGATGCCTTCCTTGGCGTCCCTCCAGAAACACTTCCATCCCCACTTTGCAACCCTGCTCCTTGGCTGATGTCATCCGTGCACATATTCCCATTATTTAAGTCAGAGCACAGTTGCCTGTCTCTCTCTCTGACACTCTCCTCATTCCTCTGACTTTCACCTGCACCCACATGGTTCTTCTTGTCTGTCTGGGGGCTGTTGATACACCATATCTTCTGCTGGTCCTCGAAGGAGGCAAAGGATTGATCCGAAGAACTGGTGCTGAATTTAGCCTTGCTTTGGAGACTTGGCATAAAATCAGACTGGCTGTCACTATAAAATACATCTTCCTCCTCAGGAGAAAGGGGTCCTGGGGAGGGCCTCTGTTGAGAGGTTGGGCTCTGCAGGTTGGCCTCTTGATCAGGCTCTTTGGGTTGTGAGTCTGATCTCGAGAACCCGTTTTGCACTTGGTGGGCCTGCAGCATCTCAGCACGTTTTGCAGTCTCAGGCTCTTGGCTGGAGAACTTCAGAAAGAGATGCTTTCTGAGGCTGTGCTGGCTGGAGTCGGGACCCCTACCTTGCCTCGTGAGGTTCAGATTCGCCTCTCCGTTGGCATTGTTCTCACAGCCGTGTGTCTCTGTAGCCTCCCCATTGACACAAAATGAGGCTTTGACAGTAGTTGGAGGTGAGCTAGGAGTTGGGTAGTTGTCTGCAGATGACGCATTGGCATTGGCTCTCAGGTCCTTTTGGGTGCTGACGTATGGTGCAGTAAGAACATCTGATGTTCTTTCTTTAGAAAACTGACCTGTAGGACTGTCCACAAGCCTATTAGGAAAGATTACTCCATTAGTAACAATCTCTTGCTTGCCATTGACCTTATCACTGACTTTCTCATCAACATCTTTCACATCAACACCTTTCAAGAGACGGTTGGGACTGTACGTGCTTTTCACATGCTTGCGAACATCCTTGAGATTAAACAGCAGGCTAGGGGCTTTAGATTTGTAACTATCCCAGGACTGTCCCTCATCTGGTTCTTTCTCCTGGTACCCATTGGACTGTCCTTGGGGTGATGGGATCTCCGTTGACTGGCTGTTCAATGAGTCCAGGACATGCTTGGTGGGGATGATGGGTGTCAAAAGCTTACTGATGTTAAAAGGAGGAGTATAATGCTCTCTGGGGTCCACTGGCAGTTCAGGAGCTTTGTCTTCAGGAAATTGCCCTTGGGGATTCTGGTTGACATACAAAGGAGAGGTCCTTTTGTCGGGCTGCTTTTTTTCTTCTGAAGCATCGTCTAGGCTTTCTTTACCTCCCTTGTGAGTTTTTGTTTTCCTCCATGGGGGTTGGGTTGGCTTTCTCTGCAGATCAGATTGGGAGTTAGAAGCTTTTTCCTCCACGGTGGATACTTGGGCTCCAGGGTCCCTTGAACTCCAGGGTCTGGATATGGTGAGAACCCTCTCTTCCTGATTGCAGCCAGTCTGAACTTGACTGGGAGAGACTTTGCTCTCAGGTAGGTGGGATTCTCTTAGCAGAGGAACAGTCTGGTAATATTTGGGCCCTTTGCTTTCTGGGATGGCCTTGGCCAGTTCATTTGTCTTTAGCACGCGTGGTTGGATGGCATTCCAGGACTCGAAAGCACTGTTTTCACTGTGAAGGAAAGTTCCTTTGTGAGCCCACTCGTTGCCTCTGGTGGGCTCCACTTTGGCTGGCTTTTGGGCTGGGGAGAGAAATTTGGACTCAAAGGAGCCAGGGCCATCACTGGGGGCTGGAAGGAAGTTGCTGGAGCTGTGACAAACTGCTGGAGAGTTCTTTGGGGACTCCTGTTCCCTGTGCATCCTGCCAGCCTGATGGCTGCTCTGGTGAGTGCTGGAGACTTCAGCGGGCACCCTCCGGACAGTCAGAAAAGCTGAATCAAAGCAGAAATGGACACCACTTTCTGGAAGAGGAGCAAATTTGGGGGTGGTTTTCAAAGTGGGCGGCTTGCTCGAGGAAGGCCTGATGTCACCATACTGGCTCTCTGGCCTGTCAAAGGATTTAATTAAGGACGATACTTTGGACAGGGGCTTACTGCTGCTCCTCAGGCCAGAAACTGGTACCTCCAGCTTCCTCTGGGCTGGTGTTGGTGGGGGGCTTCCTTTGGGGTACTTCTCCTCTCCTTGCACATATTTGGGTAACTGCTGTAACGTGGCTGCCCAGCCAGTGTGCTCTGCGCCCTGAGAGGGTAGCTGGTTCCAGATGCCGCTTTTTCTCTGGGTGTGGCTCACAGTGCCCTGGTGGAGGCCCCCAAGCACTTGGCAGGTGAGATCTGGGGACTCACTGAAGTGCGTATCCTCCGAGATGCACAGGCTGCGGAAGGCACGGTCTGTGAGGCTGCTCACCTCTCGGTCCGCATCGTCCAGCAAGCTCCCAATGCTCGAGGAGTCACTGAAGCCATCGGTGCCCTTCTTGTTGCCCTGCATGGTCTTCCCACGCAAGGAGACTGCCAGGCAACTTGTAACCACCGAGAAGTGCTTCTTTCTGGAGGTGTGGAGGTAGCCCCTTTCAAATAGATCTCCTCACAGGCTGGGTGCTGCTGCAAAGTGTAATTTCTTTTCTCTCTGTAGAAGAAATAAACACAGAACATGAGCAGGGCCTATCTGTCAGTTCGCGACATGTTGCTAGGAGGCGGGCAGCTATGCCACCAGTATTTCAAATACCAGCAGCGACACTCATGGTGGATAGGTTTCAGTGAAGCATCTAGACTAAAACAGAGTAGGAAGAAAGACCTGGCAATCATCCCTCCCCACCCCAATCAAACTCAATCCTGTGAGTCACTGCACAGGTGATATTGTGCCGGAAGTTGGAGCACTATGAAGCTGGATGGCTGTCTCTGACCATCCCATGTGAGGTTCTCATCGCTGCCACTCTTTCTCAGAGTCCCAGCTGTCCTCTTTAAGGCACAGACCACGGTTTCAAACTAAATGAACTCTTTGTGACTTGCCCCTTCATTAGAAGATGTTCGAGGGCTTAGGACTCCTGTGCCTGTTCTTCTTTCATTGTTTCTCATCTCAGATCCACCCCAGGAAGGGATCGTCCGCCAGCACTACCTGTCTCCTTAACTCTCTGAATTCCAGAGGGAGGCGCTGTGGGAATTGGAAGGGATGTGTGAAAAATCCATGGTATTTCTCCCCTACTCTCCTCTACGCTCTAATGTGGGCATTGACACTGCCACAGTCCTCTATGATGATGCCCCTTGCCCGACACATCAACTCTCATTGGCTCAATAATACTTCCCCCTTTGCCATTTGAAATTGTTCACTTTTCTGGAATGATCCCATGTCCTTCTGAGTTGTCCTAATTCTGCCTCCACCTCTGTTACCATCTCTTCATTATAGCCTCCTTCCAAATCCTGTCTGTGGATTCTGTCTCCTGCTGGGACCCTCAATAGTAGGACTAGGGCACTGCCAATACCCAGCACAGTGCCTAGCATAGTGTTAGGGATTAAATTATGGATCCCCCAAATATATGTTAGTCTCCTAACCTCTTAGGAAACAGCATTTCCTTAGTTATATTGGCTAGATCATGCATTTCTGAGTAATAAAAAGAGCGGCTTGGACACACACACACACACACTATGAGGTAGTTAGTTTATTGTGCCAACCTGGCCAATAAACACATGTGAGGTTAATTGAAGGGTGGAGAGATAAATGGCTCAGTCAGCCTCGTCTTTGTAGTTCTCGGGTCTCTTGCTTTGTGATGGGTCAGACCAGGGTGGAGATGCCTTAGCCAGTTCCCTGCTTTAGCTGGGAAGGCTCACTTCCTGCAAGACATCCCTGAGGAGAAGCCACATGGACCTACCCCGATGCAGCCCTGGGTGCTGGAGCAGCCGTGTGGAGACCCCTGCCAGTGCTGAGATGTTTACACATTCACTGACTCGGCTTTCCTCCTGCAGTTGGCATCATTGCGTCTGTTTTGTGAGATGGAGGAGGACTTTGTGGACTGGTGTTGGACATATGTGTTAATGGATTAATGTTGGACTTGTGGGCTTGGGCAGCACTGGGTTGGGATGTTTTCTTGATGTGGACTTAACCTTTATAAAAAACTCTCTCTTATACATGAGTTTCTGTGGATTTGTTTCTCTAATAGTACCCAGACTAACACACTTTGTGAGGATTGTCAAGAAATCCTCAAGGAGTGCCCAGGACAAGGAAGGAATCCACAAGGCTGAGACCCTGATTTGAACTCTTGGCCTCAGGAACTGTGTGTGTGTGGTCTCGGTCTCCTTCATGATTTCAAACAGTCATGAAAGAGGTCAACTGTTATTCAGAGCATTCAGAAAATAATCACATGTCTTTTGTCCAAGGAAAAAAGATCGATGGGCCAGCCCATCTCACTATTTTATTTAAATACTTTTCTTAATTCTAATCTCATGGTCTCATTCCTTACACACACACACACACACACACACACACACACACACACACCGTACCACCTAATGGAACCCTTCAGCATAGTGGGCATACCTGTTAGAGGATTACAAGTGGCTGTAGTTTGCCTTGCCGCGACTCAGGATCTGTAGTTTTAGAACTTCTGCTAATTCTTATATTTGGTGTCCTCATTTCTCACCTAGAAATAAGAGGAAAATAATCTCAGTGGAGAATAAAGCACATATTCCATGCATGAAAGATATTCAATGGACATTTGGTTAATGAATAAATAAAAGGAGAAGGGAATAAATGCCAAAAAGTCTTTAAATTTTACAAACAACTACCACATACTCTTGAATTTGAACTCGACATAATTTTGAACAGATAATTTTTGATGACTATTTTGGTTTAAAATAGTGTCAATTTATTTCCTTTTCAAAATTCGTGAATGTGTCCATGATCCAGGACATCTTGAGAAGCCTTTGGGATTTCAAATATGATTGACCTACTTTTGAATTATTTCTTGCTAGTAAAATCTGATAAATGACTGCTTTTCCATGTGAATTAATATCTCAGATTTTGCACTAAAGAGTTCTCGAGTGGGCAAGCTTGAGTCCACTCAGCAAGAAGTAGCACAGGGTTCGATTTATTGTTGGCAGGAGACTTGAGCATATATTTTGACAGCTAAAAGAAACGAAAAACGGCCCAGGAGAATTTTAAGAGTGCTTAGAATGAAATGTAAACTAATTAAAATAAATCCACTATGGAAATTTTAAATGTAGACCATTGGGGCTTCCATAGGCCTTCTCTAGCTCAAAGCTCTGGGATATTAATCTAATCTAACATAGTTTATTAACAGTATTAATGATCATAATAACTCAAATTTGTGGAGTATATTTCTTTGGAGAATCATCAAAGTGTTTTGCGTTTACCACCATATGGTTAGACTACACCGGGTACTCTCGGCTGCCTTAGCGAGGAACCCCTTGTCTCCCCACAGCACAATATACTAGATTTACCTTTCCATAGCTCGTGCTGTCTCACAGATCATGTGTTATATGTATCCCCGAGCATATTAATGTATGTGTTTGAGGAAGTGACGGTTGCCTCTTTCTTTCCCCAATTAGAAAAAAAAATTCTTGAACCAAGAAAGGAGCCTTAGTTGCTTGTGACATGGAGCCAATCAATGTTTATTATTGTTAGCCGCCATTGAATTGGCTCTGACTCAATGGCACTAACATGAATGAAGATAGACTGTATAGCTCCAAGCCACGTCATCATTAAGGTCTTGGAATCTGCTCCACGGAATTTGTAGAAACAAAAATGAATACTTAGACAAGTGATAAATTCCTATTTATGTCTCTTGCTTTCAAAAACAGTTTTCTTAAAAGTTTCTATAATCTCTGTAAATCTCACTATTTCTCTGGTTGATTTCACTCTGTCAGTAGTAGCCTCTCCCACTCTAATCCTCAAATGGCTCTTCCAATGGGTAATTTTTGCTCTTCGTCTGACTTAACCTTGAAGTTGCAATGATCTCCATCTCTGCAGGCCACTGTCTCCTGGAGGCAGGCTCTCACTTGGACTGTGGAACCTATATTCTTTTGTCCTCCCTTTCCTTGCCTGGCTCCCTCTCATCCCTCTCCTGGACCATCAGAGGTGGAATTTCCTGCATTCTCACTCCAGGAGCTCTTCTCCCACCATATTTTCTCACTCCATGGAAATTTTATCCATCCCCATGGTTTCCATCACACACTGATAGCATGTTTAGCCCAGAGCGCTTCCCAGATATCTAACCCCCAGCAACGGAAACAAATCTCCTTAACAAGGAGCTTCTCTCTGTCCTTATTTTGAATTATTTTCTCTCTCACTCTTGGCTTTCCAGCCAGCCTCAATGCCTTTGTACCTTCACCTTTTTCCCTTTCTACTTAACTTATACCTATTAACTCCATTTCATACGTCCCTTTGACCAGGCAGCATCCTCAGACTGTGCTCTCTACAATATGCGATATCTACCTCTTTTGTTTGAAGGTTTTTCTCTCCTGCTGGATGTGCTGTACTGTGATAGAGCCTATGTTTGTCTTGTTCTCCAGTTAATCCTTATCATATACAGAGGCACAAGAAATATTTGTTACATAGCTGAACAAATCTTTGTACCTTGGTGAGTTAGTTAATTGTGCCAGCCTGGCCGATAATCACATGTGGTGCTGGTTGAAAGGCGGAGGGATAAATGGGTGGTGAAGCCTCGCCTTTCTAGTTCTCGGGTCTCTTGTTTTGTGATGGTTGCATCGGGTGCAGCTGCCTTAGCAGTTCCCTCCTTCAGCTTGCAAGATGGATTTCCTACAAGACATCCCCAAGGAGAAGCCGCATGGATCTATCCCGATGCAGCCCTGGGTGCTGGAGCAGCCGTGTGGAGACCCTTGCCAGTGCTGAGATGCTTACACGTTCATGGACTCAGCTTTCCTCCTGCAGTCGGCATCATTGCCTCTGTTTTGTGAGGTGGAGGACTTTGTGGACTGGTGTTGGGTTAATGGGTTAATGTTAGACTTGTGGGCTTGGGCAGCATTGGGTTGGGATGTTTTCGTGATGCACCTTTTCTTTACATAAAACTCTCTCTTATACGTGAGTCGCCGTGGATTTGTTTCTCCAAAGTACCCAGACTAATACACTTGGTCATAATATTATTCACATTATTGATTGGCTTAGCAGGACTGCTTTTATTGGAAAATCAACTTCAGTCAATTACAGAATTATGTTCAATGTCAAAATTACCACAAATTTCAAATTAGTGAATTTCAATCTAAGGTAATTTGATTTGTTTTTTAACTCAAGTCTTAGAACCTATGTTTCTATATATGTGAAATATAAATATATGTGAATCTGTGGAATAGAAATATGTATGTCTGTAGATATATATTTCTATATATTACATTTCTATAAATGTGATAGGAGTCATTGGGCAGTGCAAGTGGTTAACATACAGAGGGATCTCAGAAGAAAGGCCCAGCAATCTATCTGTGACAAATAAGCCATTTAAAGCACTATGGAGGAAAGTTCTACTCTGACACATATACGGTTGCCATAAGTGAAAGGCAACTGCTTTTTATAACTGTGGCAAGAAGTAGAACATGGTGGTCTAGATGGTTTTAAGAGACTATTTATAGGACCTCCCAACATGGAATTATGGATGAAAGGCATACCTTCACATCATTCCACAATCCAAACTCACTGCCATTGAGTCAGTTCTGACTCATCTTACCCTATAGGATAAGGTAGAACCGCTCCCTATTGGTTTCTGAGACTATAACTCTTTACAGAAGTAGAAAGCCTCATTTTCCTTCTGTGGCATTGCTGGTAGTCTTGAACTGCTGACCTTGCAAATTGCAGCCCATTGCATAACCACTACCATTCCAGGGTTCCTTTCACACCATACTCATATATATTAAAGTACCTAGACCCAAGCTCATGGTAGTTATAGTAGAATTGAGTTTCAAGGTCAACCCCAGTGAACATTTATATCAGGGAGAAATAAGCAGGGAATTCCTGACTGTTTCTGGATGTCTTTCTAGTTGCTTTCTTTTTACTTTGTCTCTCTAGATTGCCTTTCTAAACCAACTCCAAGCTCCATGTTTTGACTCCTGTGATTCATTCTCTAAACTCACTGCCGAGGAAGTGATTCCCTCTCAGAGGGACCCTACAGGACAGACTAGAACTGTGTCTGTGGGTTTCTGAGACTGTAAAGCTTTATGCTCCATCTTTCTCCAGCATAGCAGCTGGTGGTTTTGAACTGCTGATCTCACAATTTTCAGCCCAATGCATTACTCACTATGCCACCAAGACTCAACTGGAGTCCTGTTTATAGCCACATGGTAGGTCATTAAAGAGTTTGATAAACCTAATGGTGGGGTCAGCAGATGAAAAGTCAGCATCTGCCCTGTGTTGTCAAGGCAACCCTTGAGAACTCACCAGCACTTGTTGGTTTCCAGCAGCATCCACTGACGCTGGATGCCAGTCAAGCTTGCAACAGGGTTGAGCAAACCAACTCAAACCGAACTCATTGCTGCTGAGTTGATTCCGAATCAAAATGACCCAGTGTGTGTAAGAGTGCTCCACAGGATTGTCAAGGCTGATTTCTCAGGAGCAGGCAACTAAGCCTTTCTTATGAGGCACCTCTGGGTGGATGTAAGCCAATAGTTTTTTGGTTAACGTCAAAACACTTTTATTCTTCACCATCCACCACTAATGATACTTTGCACAGAAACAAAAACAAACCTATTACCCATGTCCGACTCATGGTAACCCCATGCATTACAGAGTAGGCCATAAGAGTTTGTTGGCTTTGATCTTTTCAGAAACATATTTCCAGGCTTTCTTCCAGGCCTTTCTTCGTGGATTCAAACCATCAACCTTTCAGTTAGTAGTCAAGGTCAAAGTATTTGGGCCTTTCTCCTTGTCTAGTCCTTATGAAACTCTGATTCTTATGAAACGTTCTCAAGTGATGCTCTTTCCAAGTCCTACTGCACAATGCAGATGAACTGTCATGGACCAGAATGTGCGATCTTTTTGCAGATGCAGATTTTCCTTCTCTCCTCATCCCATATACGCCCCTCAAGGTCCTCTGGTGCCACTGCCTCCCTTCTGAGCTTGACCTTTCTCCGTCCAGTCCTTGTCTTCCAGTCCCATTGTATAGAGGAAGTATTTCAATGCACAAGTGTGTCTGCTGTGGCTCCTTGAGTGGTAATTTCTCTGCCTCGGTGTCTCTTGGTGTGATCTGGTCAGTAACAGCTGGCCACACCTCCTCTGTCCTCTCATTTCTTCAGAGTTTCTCTCTCGCTCTCTCTGTCTTTCTCTCTCTGATTTATGTTTCTTGTACTGCTTGATTCTACTTCACCTGCTGTCATTCCACCTCCCTAAGTGGGCTTTAGACTCTGTAGAGGAAGTTGCCCCACCTAGCTTGCCTTGACTGATGGTGGCCTCTTGTCAATGTTTTCAGACGCTGGGGTGATTCCATTGCCTGGGAGCAAGGGTGTGGTGACAGACATTTGCTATGTGTGTTGGGTGAAGACAGATAGCAGATCTGTGGCTACATGTGCTTCCTGAAGTCTTGTCCATTATGGACTCTGAGAGAAGATTACAGCGCAGTGGCAGTGCCTCCAGTGTCCTTGAGTGATCAGAGAAAGAACGTGTTCTGATGCTCCAATT